TCCATCGCGTCGCAGGTGTGTGCAGCACGCCCCCATCAACTCAAGAAGAATATATCTTGAAGAACCAAGACCAAGAGCTCAAGATTTCAAGCCCAAGGGACGCGGATAAATATTAAATAGTGAAAATAGTAACACTACTTCGTGTAGTGTTACATTTCACTTGGTGTAGCCCCTTGGAGGGTTTGTTTTGAGACTCTTCGTGGTTGGGGACTCTGTGGTGGTGTACCACCAACCTGGACCTCGGCTCTAGGGGTATGTAGAGGCTGGGAACCATCTCCCTCTCCAATTCTTCTTCCTAAGTTTTTGTACTCCTAAGACTATAGTGGCTGCTGTACCTCCTGCCAGTCAAACCGCCAAAGCGTCGTCAAATCTTCATGGAATTTTATGATTCAACTTGCTGCTGATAGGCGACATCAACGCGCTCCAGATCCAATTTACAGATCACCGTTTGAGGCACACATCAGATCGGCATCAATATTTGAATCTGGCTGACGGAATTCTGACAGTGCACATTTTCTCTCATTTTAGGCACATCTGAGCCTATTGTGATTATAACAGCCTCTTGGTCATCATATTAGCAGGCTGCGCCGTCGTCTTTACGTAGTGCAAATCCACTTCATCCGCGGTTACCATGCTCCTCACCCAATGCCACTTCACCTTCATGTGCTTGGTAAGGCCATGAAGAACGGGGTCTTAGCCAATGCAATAGCACCCTGGCTATCACAATAGAGTGGGGTAGGTCCTTGCTGCTCCTCCCCCAATTCAGCTAGCAAACGCCGCTGCCACACAACCTCTCTTATGGCACGGAAGAGTGCCATGTACTCGGACTCCATCGAGCTCAATGCTTGGTCCACTTGTTTCTTGCTCTCCCAAGCTGTCGGTCCTCCACCAACACAGCAGATGAAGCCTCCCACACTTTTCATGTCCTCTGGTTCTGATGCCCAAGATGCATCAAAGAAGGTGGTGAGAAAGAGCCTCCCGGGTTCGACTTTATCCGCACCCTTTTGACGCCTTTGTGCCGCCGCGGAGTATTGCAATCCAACAGTTGCTGTTTGGCCAAGGTACTTGGCCACCCTCTCTCGAGCTGCTACCTGCTCTTCATTAGGGCATTGGACAACCCTAGCCAGCTGCCCGGTAGCAAAGGCTGCATCCGGCCTTGTGTTAACGGCCGCATACATGAGGCTGCCCACCAAGGAATGAAAATGGCGCCTCTCCTCTTCACCAACATTTTCCTCCGCTGGTCTTTTCACACACTTGAACCCTGAGGGAAGAGGAGTAGCCACATGACCTTCACTCTTCCCAAAGTTTGCAGCCAAGGCCTCCAAGTACTTCTTTTGATGCACTCGCATCCACCGCTTCTCCACATCTCGCTCAATGTGAAGCCCAAGGTAGTAGTTGACGTCACCAAGGGTCTTGCACTTGAACTTGTCTTGAAGCTTCAACATCACCTCCTTCACAAGGTCAGAGGAGGGTGAGAATATGAGGATGTCATCCACATAAACTACCATGAAGCTCCTCTGCTCCCCCTTGCCAAGCATGAACAAGGATTGATCGGCCGTTGAGGGAGTGAAGCCGATCGCCTCCAAGACTTCCCGCAGCTTGATGTACCATTGCCTAGGGGCTTGCTTGAGGCCATAGAGTGCTTTCTTCAGCTTCCACACTCTACCACTCCCATAATTGTACCCCTCTGGCTGCTCCATGTAGGTCTCTTCCTCCAAAACGCCGTTGCGGAAGGCCGTTACTATATCCATTTGCTTCACCACCCATCCTTTGATGGCCGCCGCGGCGAAGAGGGTTCGAAAGGTTGTACCCTTCACCACAGGGGCATACACTTCATTGTAGTCCTTCTTCTCTTGCTGCTGATACCCCTTGGCTACAAGTCTGCTCTTGTAGCGCTCAATGTTGCCGTCGGCATCGGTCTTGCGCTTGAAGAGCCACTTGGAAGAGATCGCCTTCCGCCCCGGAGGTAGGTTCACCAAGTCAAATGTGTTGTTCTCTATGATGCTCCCCATTTCTTCATCTGAGGCCTTCTTCCACTCCTTCCCATTGGGGCCCTCCCAGGCCTCCTTGGGATTTGTAGGCTCCCCCGGCATCTCCACCGGAGAGAAGAAGGCAAATGCGCACTCCTCGCTTTCATCTTCCGCATCATCGCCTAGCATGAGAGCCGAACCGGTCAAGGTTGAGTTGGCTGGTCCTCCAAGCCGGTCATAGCTCAACCTACTAGGGGGCTGAGTCCTCCTTCTCCCCCTTCCTTCCTTCTCTGCTGCAGGGACTTGAATGCTCTCATGGCGTTGCGGTAAATCTGGTCGGTTCCCACGAGCACTTGTAGCAAGAGGCGGAAGTGACGGTGCACGCTCATCACCTTGCTGCACCTCCTCCTCCTCCTTATCCCCATTCATTTGAGGAGATTGCCTCGTGATTGTGCTGCTGCTACTCAGCTCCAAGGGCAGCTCCACATGCTCCAAGCCGGTACTCTTCACCTCTCCAAGCCGCACACCAATCTTCGCTTGGTTCTCCGCCTTCCACTCCCAGTACGGTAAGTTCTCCATGAACTTGCAATCTCTGCTCACCAGGAACTTCTTGGTAAATGGGTCCCATAGAAGCCATCCATTGCTGTTTTGGGCCATGCCCAGGTGCATGGCCCATGTTGCCTTGGCATCAAGCTTGTTGTGCCGAAGTTTCTTAGGCACAAGTGCCATGCACATGCACCCGAACACCCGAAGCATATCCACCTTCGGCTTCCTTCCAATCCACTCCACATAGGGCACCCATTTGTCTTCTCCCACGTGAGTCAAGGCTCTGTTCTTGGCCACACAAGCATGTCGCACCGCATCCGGCCAAAAGTAATTGGGAAGACCGGCTTCAATGAGAAGTCCCTGAGCCGTCTCCGTGAGTGTCCGATTCGCACGCTCGGCGATGCCGTTCATTGCAGGAGAGTAGGGCATGGTAAGAGAGTGTCTTATGCCCAGCTTCTTCAGCCAAGTTGAGAAGTCCTTGCTCAGGAAATCTCCCCCATGGTCTGTGCGAATCGCCTTCCCAAGCCGGTCTTGTTGCCGTTCCACCATCGGCAACCAATCGGTCTTCACCGTTTCAGCTACGTCACTCTTCTTCGGCAGCACATACACCCAAGTCATGCGAGTGTAGACGTCCACAATGGTGAGGAAGTACTCTGCTCCAGCAGCTCCAAGCTTCAAGGGGCCCACCACATCCATCACCACCTCATCAAGTGGTGCCTTCGCCATTGTCTTCGAGCTATGGAGCGGGTAGCGGGTGAACTTGGCTCGCATGCATGTTGGACAGCCAAGCACCTTATTGGGCTCCCCCTTGACACGTATCCCACTGACCATCTCTTGCTTAACTATCTGCTGCAAAATGGGCAATGCCACATGCCCCATTCGCCGATGCAAGGTCAGCCAATCACACTCTCCCGTAGCCGAAGTCGGGTTGGAGAAAGCGGCACTCGCAATCGTGCCCCACAAGCTCTCTCCTTTCTCCTTTGCCACTGCTGCTTTGCTGATCTTAGCCTTCCCCTCCTCTTCTCCGGGTCGTTCTCGGGGCGCTTCTCCGTTCCTTCCATCACCACCAGCAGATCATAATGGTCAAAGATGTTCTCCATCTTGAAGGACCACTCAGAAAAGTTGTCACCCTTGAACTTGTCAAGGCCAACCACTCTAGGCTCATCCCTAGAGGGTTCAAGGCTAGGTTGCACAGGAGCAACGGGTGGATCTTGGTGTTGACCTTATGCTTGGGCGTCTTCTCTGCCTCCAGCACCTCTGCCACCACCTTCCTCAGGTCTAGGCATGGTAAAGACGGCTCCAAGGGGCTCTGATACCACTTGTTATAGCTGCAACACTCTTCTTGGGTTCACACGCCTTGCTAGTCTCTCCAAGATTGCCCTCCTTCGAGTCACACTTGGTGTCACTTTGTTTTCCGTGATCACCGCCACCAACCGCTTCACTCTTGGTGCTGACGCTTGCTGCCACTTGCCTCTCCTTAGGCATGGGGACCTCTGGGATTTGCCACATCTCATTGTAGATGTCCCTGTCCTTATTAAGGTCCCAAAGCTTCCGCTCACCAAGCCTTGCGGTATAGGTTTTGGATCCCTTGGAAGATGTGTCCATGCCGGCCTTTTGCAAACGCCGAACAGAGATCAGGTTGGCTGCTAGGTTGGGCACCCAAAGCACGTTCTTGAGGCCCACCATTTTCCCATCAGCACCCTTGAACATGGCCTTGCCCATGCCTTTCACCTCTGCTCACTGCCCCAAAGCCGATGTAACATGCTTCACCGGCGACGGTTCGAGTTCGGTGAGCAAGTTCGCACAAGGTGTCATGCTATAGGTGGCGCCGCTATCGATCACCCAAAAGTCCAGAGAGTGAAGGGTGACCTTTCCCACAGTAGTTTGCTCCTCAAAGCCTTCCACACCTCCTCCTGCAGCTGCCGCTTGCGTGGAGACAAAGAAGAATTGGCCCGGGTATCGATCTTCACTCAAGTCCTTGTCGTAGTCTCCACCTTTCATGCTTGCCGCTTCGCTTCCACGACCACCACGGCCTCCACGACCTCTGCCTCTTCCTCCCCTTGCTCCTCTACCCTCTTGGCCTTGAGAAGAGGTCCATCCATCAGGCAATTTGAAGCAATCTCTCCACATGTGGCCAGTCTTGTGGCAAAAGTGGCATTCGCCATCAAATTGACCGCGCCCACGCCCGTAGCCATTATTGTTGTTGTTGCTGCCATATCATCTATTACCACGGCCTCCATTGAATTTACTGCTGCCAAATCTTCCTCCTCGCCCTCTGCCCCTTCCACGGCCGTGCCCACGGCCCATGCTTGCAACTCCGGCACCATCGGGACCCGCCAATTCGCGACGGCGGAAATCTTCTTGTAAGATTTCTCGCTTCACATCTTCGAGTGAGAGACGGGGCAGATCTCGATTTAGGTTGATGATGAGCGAGGACCATGAGTCCGGAAGTAAGGCCAGCAGCTTGGTCTTCTTTTGAAGGTCACTGTAGTTCAGATCAGCTTCTTCGAGCCGTGTCAACAAGTCGAAGAATTTCTGCACTCCTTCCTCCACCGGTTCGCCTTCGTCAATTCGAAGTGCTGCCATTTGCCGCTCCAAAACCACAGCCACCGCCGCTGTTGCAGGAGCGTGTACACCCTTGAGAGCAGCCCATGCCTTTGGTCCCTTTGCTGGTTCACGCTGAAAAGGCTTGATGTGACGGATTTGGCTGCTCCCCAACGCTTGCCCAAGTAGAAGGTAGCCTTGTGCGCTCTTCCGCACCCACGGGCTCTTCTCCGGGTCGTTCTCGGGGCGCTTCTCCGTTCCTTCCATCACCTCCAGCAGATCATAATGGTCAAAGATGTTCTCCATCTTGAAGGACCACTCAGAAAAGTTGTCACCCTTGAACTTGTCAAGGCCAACCACTCTAGGCTCATCCCTAGAGGGTCCAAGGCTAGGTTGCACAGGAGCAACGGGTGGATCTTGGTGTTGACCTTATGCTTGGGCGTCTTCTCTGCCTCCAGCACCTCTGCCACCACCTTCCTCAGGTCTAGGCATGGTAAAGACGGCTCCAAGGGGCTCTGATACCACTTGTTATAATCACAATAGGCTCAGATGTGCCTATAATGAGAGATAGAGAGCACAGTCGGATTTCCGCTAGACGGCTTCAAATATTGAAAATGATATGTTCTCTGAATCAAACGGTGATTTGTAAGCTGGATCTAGAGTGTGTTGCTGTCGTCTATTAGCAGCAAGTTGAATCATGAAATTCCATGAAGATTTGACGACGCTATGGCGGTTTGATTGGCAGGAGGTATAGCAGCCACTATTGTCTTAGAAGTACAAACTGAGCAAGAAGAATTCGAGAGGGAGATGGTTCCCAGCCTCTACATACCCCAAGAGCCGAGGTCCAGGTTGGTGGTACACCACCACAGAGTCCCCAACCACGAAGAGTCTCAAAACAAACCCTTCAAGGGGCTACACCAAGTGGAATGTAACACTACACGAAGTAGCGTTACTATTTTCACTATTTAATATTTATCCGCGTCCCTTGGGCTTGAAATCTTGAGCTCTTGGTCTTGGTTCTGCAAGATAAATTCTTCTTGAGTTGATGGGGGCTTGCTGCACACACCTGCGACGTGATGGACACTTCACACTCGACAAAATAGAAAAAACACATGCGACACGCAAACGACGACTTGACATACGAGTTGTAAAGACTCGCTAATGTCTTGACCGACACAAACCACATTGTGATACACCATTCAAATGCACACACAAGCACTAGATAGCAATGACATAGGCTCACAATTCATTCCATGTCATGCATGCACACACACAAACAAGGACGACAAGCCGAGTGCAAGCCATAGGGTTGCACCAACAGAACCAAAAATCAGCTGCCTTCGACACCGTTCGCATCATCTTGACAGCCAGTCTCGAATTCTTCCAATCAAGCACGAATTTGGCGCAAAAAGCATTTGCTGAGTTAGAAATCTGCCATAAAATTACCTACTTGGTAATAGCTGCAAGCAGAAAATTTATAGGAGAACGTGGATCGTCCGATCGGTGCGGAATCAACGGCACGAATGCAGCAGAGACTACACTATGGGAAAGCATCATCATGGGGACAACATTCGTGACCAGAGACTGCACATTCGATGCATCTTCTAACTAGTGTTGATAAACGATACGATTTATTTTGACGAAGTCATCTTCGTTAAAAATGGATCGGCATCAACACCGCGAGATCTTCACCCAGGAAAAAAAAAGGAGCTGCGTGAAGACATGTTCTCCGCCAATGAGACACTTTATCTCATAAATTTGATCGACAACCTAAAGGATTGCAGAGAAGTAGCCGTTTTCTCTTGCAATGCTCCCAAGTTCAAGTTGCTGCGAAGGAGCAGATTTCGCACGCAACGACGACGCAGTGAAACCGTCTCGTCAAGGCCAGCGAGACACTACTTCGTAACAGGAGCTGAACAATTCGTCTTCATCAAGAATCTCAGCCATCCGAAGTGATTGATTGGAGCAGTCTCAACATCGACCTCACGAGGCGACACACCAATCATGCATCGCGAGTCCAGGTGTTAATGAACTACGTGGAAAAAACCTCCGTGCACGTCACGATGCTTGACAGATTGAGGAGTAATTAACCTCTAATCTGGCAAGTATTCATTCACTAGCGACCCTACGACACATGCATTGGAGGCGATTCTACCAGAAGCCGGAGCGTTACAAGCATCAGCGTAACTTCGACGATGCAGGAGAACGCCAAGCAACACGAGGTGTCAACAAATGAGGGAGATGCGGACTACTACAACACAATCATGTGCTCTACCGACTGTACATCGGAGGCAGGGATGAGCATACCAGGAATTGCTACCCGTGGATACATTGAGGGGAGAAACAAAATTCTCTTCATTCCCTCAAATGAAACAATCACCGGCAGCAATGGAGCAACACATGTGTACTAATGTGCACGTGTTCCTGGTTGTTACGCGTGTTACACCCATCAGGAACACTCTAGTGAGAAGAGGGAGTTGATGGATTCTTCTTCAACCACTATGAGTTGAGAGAATTCTCTGCAGCAGCTGCCGCCGTCGCCATCGTCGCTACCACCGCAGCAAAAGACTCGCCACAACAGTCATATCCAAACCCTGTGGATAATTCTCCGCTCAATAAAGATAAAGCTGGATTATATTCCACTGGATCGTAAAGTCCCGGCCAGGCACAATACTATGATTTCCTGCTAATGGGACAGCTATGCACTGGAATAGCTATGGCAATGCCATATACCCTCAAGAGCAGGAGATATTTGCTCTTAAGAGGATGGGAGGACTACGGTACTCTACTGGTATACAAGTCCTCATGGCCTATGGCTTTCCCTAAAGTTATAAAACCTGCGTCGCAACCAATCCATCACCAGCACCAACTCCACGGAAGCAGATAGGCGTGAAATGGAGCGCCGACGCCACTCCGGATAGTGGAATCCGCGTATCTCCAACAACACCCCTGTTTGCCGAAATGGAGCAGACTTCAACACCGATGCTGAGTAGTTGAGACATCTTCGACATCAACGCTACTTCAAGGACAGTGACAGAATGAGAGAATACATGATGGCACCAGAAGACCTATCCCAATATGTGCGCCCAGACACCGATGCCTACCGATGGACTCCATGCTAAACTGGAAGTGTATAAAGTCATACTGGATTGGCTGTGACCAATGCCCATATGGAAGTGGGAGAGGGATATTTGGGAATAGCCCTAACATTCCTTGATGTCCTAAACCATCACCATGGGATATCTACGCTGCAGAGATTCCTTGCTTGAGCAACCACCGAGGGAAACTACTTTGGCGCCAATTTTGGAAGTTACCAGCTCCGCGTTTATGGTTTCAACCCCTCGCACGGTTTTGAACACAAGGGATATGCTGAGCAGCATGGGATCTGCGCATGCGCTGTTGTACTCAAGGCAGTGGACTAGCAGACCGTGTGGTGGACAGGGTTACTACTCGTGATTCTGCTCTCCAGTCCCGCAGCACTACGATACTGAGAGGGTACGACTCGCGACAACACTACGGCATGGACCAGCATTCGACAGAAGCTGCACGTATCTGATATAACGCTGCTACAAAATAGGAGTATGACACGACTGCAGCACCACCAACACTTAGTCATCTTCATACGTGGAGGGGATGCGCGTAATACCAGGATGTGCTACCCGAGAGTCAACGCATGCTACAGTGTGCCAACTAGAGCACCCACAGAAAGGACAGTGCATCTACTCCTCCGCTACAACATCTCGATCACGATCAACGCCATCCGCGTACCACCTACAGACGCAACCCACTTACACCACAACAACCGACAAATCCAATTTATCTCCGTTGTCCATCAGCTCTAACACCGGACACGCCACTTGGACATCCAACAGCAGCAAAAGCACCTGGCTACTCATCACCACAGTTATCCACACCATAATCTCGACATCAGCCATCTTCCATCCAAGCTTCAACCTTGCTTCTACGGGACTATCCTCTTTGAAGCAAAGGCCACTTCATTCACCTTCCGCTTCCGCCTACCAGCCACTTGGAAGATCCATACCGCCTTCCATACCAGCTTCTTAAACCCTATCAAGTCCAAACACGCTCTACACCGAATGCCAACCACCGTCGTCGCCCGTGTTCATCCACGACATGGGACAAAAACGTGCTCGGACACCGTCGTCGTCAGAATGGCACTCTGGAGCTTCTTCTTTAATGGAAGGGTTATGATACTTCTGAGGCTGTGTCTCTGAATTCGACATGGGTAACGCCTGTCGTCCTCTTCACGACTACCTTGTCAAGCAGGGTGTTACTTCTACCACCTAGCTTTGAGGGGGGGAAGTGTGAGAGTACGACCCTGTTACACTAATTCCCCCTTTCCATATTTCATTTCTATTTCATTCCTCTTTTTATCCTGATTCCTTTGGTCTTTATCTCATCTTATTTTGTTTCCTATTCCCCCTTTTCCATTATCATTTGGTTTATCCTGTTATTATAGTTATATGACCGACCAGGCTCGGGATGTGCTGGCGCGCTATATCTAGCGTAATCCTGTCGTAATCCCTTACAGCCAATAACCTTGCGTGGCTATACGCAGGGTGATTCTATTTCTAGAAGGGTCTATTCCATTCGGATAGGATAAACCTGGTTACCTGATGTACTCTGGAAGTACAAAAGCACCTTGTACTGATTGATAGGCAACATTGAGCAAACCTCATTAGATCCTGTGACAAAGGCTCTGTGCAGAGTTTTCTGCAATAACGGGAGCTTCTGCAGGAAGTGCCTGGCGTAGAGTATTGGAGCTACACTAACTCTGCAGTCCTCCAAGGAGAAGTTTTCTCCAGATTGTGTGTCTTCCAGTGTAGCTTGACAAAGCTTGCACGCATACAAAATTCACTAGAATCAAGATTGGTTATGGTACAACAAGGGCAAGACCTAATACTACCTCAATGAACCATGCAAAAACATTCTATGCCAAACGTTGTCGAAACATCGCGTAGCTACACTCTGCCAAGTCAGCACCGAGCAGCAGAACGTTCTCTACCACCACTTGGATGTACTCTGCCAACTCAGCATCGGTAGGTGTCATCCTTAGGTAGCATTGGCTAGTGAAATGCCAAGTCAGCCTTGGCAAGTGTTCACCAGCCGAGACAATTGTATATGACAGTTCAGGGTCTTAAGTGTCTCCTATTCTACACATCTCTACAGTTACGACCATGTGCACCAGGTTCATCTCGCAGATAGTTTTAGTTTCACGCAAGTTCACGTTGGTTCCTCTTTCTGCCGCAGAGAGAATT